TAAACCATTGAGTCACGCAATTATTGCTGTAGGAATGCATATTTTATACAGAAACACTTCGACAAAGTAGCGAGACACGCAGTGATTAGACACAGCAAAACAGATCAGAGTTAAAAATCAGGTAGACGTAGTCAACACGAACACGGCTAGACAAGTGTCACTTACGATTATGTAAGCGATGTTATCGCGTGCAGTCACTGAATTCTTGCATTATACCCCGACCACATGGCAAAATTAATGTAATTTCGATCGAATGACATTAGGGAGTCGACAAATCCCCTTGCGACGCTCGTATAATCACTCGAGACCGCGAGCTGACTAAATTCCATATCAGTTAATGAAAATATATTAATTTTTCCGTGTGGCAGGGGAACAAAGGTTACTATTTACAGTCAACTAATTTACTTCTCCCTGTGGGCTCGAGCTGCCTTAGAACGAAAGATAATTTATTTTGTATACAATAATACTATTACCTTAATACAGTTAAGATTCCAGTATAAACGCGTTAAAGGTAATCAAATAACATTAGTATAAATAAACACATAAGCACCAACAACGCACTTTCAATGATCACACAAACTTGTTATTCACCTTTCAGTGAAAACTGGAATATTACCACACATATTTACAAATGTCGACGCAATTGTACACGGATAACAACGAAGAACAAGATGCCAAGAAAGCCCGTAAATAAGTTGTTTCTCACCAATTGATCGTATCCAAAAGTCCTGCAATATCCGCCACAAAAATATTTGAACACGAACTCCAAGAAGTCTCTCTCTATCAAGAGAGAGGTCTATCGATAATCGACCAGTGTCATCGTTGGCTAATTGCCACACATGTCACTCGAACCGTAGCAGGACTTGTTCCGCGAATCCAAGTAAATGTCTTAGTATTAAGCGAACACAAAACAAACAAAAAAAGAAAAAAGAAAAAAAAAACTACGGGAAGAAGGAAAGAACTATTAAAAGAACCTCACACGAGAGCAACAGCAGCAGTGTGGGACGAAAGGTTTGTTGACCCGGCCATGTCTTGCTCGTGTGCGCTCCCTACGGCGATTACTAGATTTTTTCCGGTTCGCTTCCCTTCTGAAATGTCTCAGCATTCCTTTTTAGACAGTCAGCAGCTCACACACAACGTAAGTTTACCAGAATCGGACCCCGGATGAGGGAAAATATGTCGCATCGGAGCCGGTTCATTCAAAAAGTGTGGGGAGCTGCGGGACTGCACGTAGTCCCGCGGTTACGGGGATAATTATAAATATAAAATTCGTAATTTCAACCTTGGTAGCGCGTTGGATATTACGTTTATATTATTTATATAATAAATTGTACAAGACTGCGCTTTTAAAACATATATTAATGCCAAATAAACGCGCATGAACACCACCGCGCCGCTGGACAAGAAACTTCTTATTTCACGTCGATACCAGATATTTTCTTACGTAGTTGCGCCACGGCCTTCCTTCTCCGTCTCGGACATTTTGACGTAACCACTCTGAGCGCTACGGCCTTCTCTTCTAGGGGGTGTCGCCCCAACGCGACTCTTTACCTGATATTACGTCAGAGCTTCCTGGATCTGGATCTGTTGGCTATTCCCTTCTAAACGGGCGGAAACTACAGTACGGATTATCTCCGTATGTGTCCTAGCCATATATTGTCCTTAGGAATGAAAAACTCCCGCTCCCCTGCAGGATTCCCTTCTCCAATCCTCCAATCGCCGCTTTGTTTTCTCGATCACGTTCGCTCCGTTCCCCCCTGCTTCCGCACCAGCCGCGCCCCCTGCATCACTGGTTGCCAATGTTGGCAACACTGATTGCCAATGTTGCCAACAAAAATGCCGTTTTTTGATGACGCGCTTTGGGAAGAGTTTAAAACCCAATTTCTCGCATGAAGGAGGATGAAAAATTCGGATATTGCGCGGAGAGTGTTCCTAAACACAGTTAAAACAAGATTTAATTGTCTTCTTGAAGACAAAAATTGACCGGGAAATAAGGGTCAGGCTCGTCTCCACTCTCGGCTTGATCAGCGGCGGCTCTGCGTGGCATGGCAAACCTAAAAAACGCAGCAAACCCAAAACAAAAACGGGGAAATCTATGCAGGGGCAAAATAGACCTATTGCTATTGGAGACGTGGGCGATCGAAAGCATCTCTGTGGTCGGCCTGCCACAATTTGCCGAGTGCTGACTGTGACGTCAGCAAAGGTAAGAGTGATATAAGAATAAGAGTAATGTAAGAACTTCAATTTTCTTGGTGCTCGCAGTGTTGCTTTCAGAGTGCAATGATTTCAAGCTTCCGCCATGCTCATTACAGACACCATCAAACTTGTTCGCAAAGTAATGACGTCACGAGAGGGAACCATAGTAGGGCGCCACCAAAACATCTCGCCAATATTACCCAAGCATCAAAGAGAATGCAGGGATTGGTGTTCCACGCGCCGCACGTGCTGGCCTCAGCAGTAGTAACTTTTCTAAAGCCTTAAACAAATTGCGTCTTGCACGCGCGTTCGTCAACGCATTATTTTGGTTATTTACTTCAAATCATTTACACGGGAAGGCGTGCGTGTGGGGAGCATGGAACACCAATCCCTATACATTCTCCTTAACAAGGGTTTCCTTAGGAATTCAAATTAGCGAAAAAAAAAGGGGGAGGGGGGGGGGGGAAGCATTGAGATTAGAGGAGTCGTTGCGAATTAAGGGGTTGCCTTCAGAAAAAACAAGGGAAGTGTACACCCCCCTTGTTTTTCTGGAGGCAACCCCTTAATGTCACAACTTGTCACATTAAGGGGTTGCCGCGCGTCACTGCGCTCCTTGTGGCCACTTGCCATATTCACGAATTGAAGCATTATTTATACTGTAAGGTCCTGGTCATATGTTACACATGTTGCATGTTCAGAACTTCATAAATTACCAGCTCCTAAAGCTCTTTCCTCTCCAATTTCTGAGAGCATCATAGCCCTAGTTGCTTTTCCACCATAAAACGTCAATCTACTGCTACTACTTTACCTCATGTCTTTCGCTGACAACCAAGTTTGGTATTCAAATTTAGAGTTGTTTATGAAACGATAACCGCCTTTTCGGTTTTACTTTGCCGACAGTCACGGGGAACCATCGTAGATTTTACGTTAGGGACGTAGAACACCAGCTGCGGATTGCGGGCGCGAGCTTCAGTCCTCCATCAAAGTGACGGCACGAGGTCTTCTAAGCAACGCAAAACTCTTGCATGCTATAGACCTTTCCAGTGTTTACAAATCCACAGTTCAGCGTGCGATCTCCACAGCTCAGCACGCGCGTGTGCGTCGCTCCGGAAAACGAGCAAAGCACGCGCCATACGCACGAACACTGGAAATGGCACCGGCCATACGCTCTTTCTTGGAAAGGTCTATTGCGGGCTATGTACGAAAAGTCCCTATTAACGTGAAAAGTAAGCTTAGTGCCACCGCTGAATCATGTTACAAGATAGCGAAGCAATGATTAACCCTGTCTTCCGCACAGCTGACGATTCGTGCTTCCGGCAATTTTTCTTGAATCGCCTACCAGGAAACAAATTAATAAGACATTCTGGGAGACGCATATTTGCCTTTCCGTTTAGCACGATGCTGTGGCATTTGACTGCACAAGAATAACTCGTGTCCAGCCCTTTTGTCGTCGTTACATTACTTTACGAAGCGCGAGGCCAGCACGGCAAGTGCACCAGCCTCTCGCGTCGTCTGCTCCGCGTACGCCAACTAGTATGGGCGCGCCCCGCCAGGGGGAGGGAGCCTGTATTACAGAGAGGGTTCAACTGCTCGATAGGGTTCATGGGCCGCGTTTGCAACACGAGCTGCAACGATGTTTACTATTTTGTTAATTAAACCACCTGAGACTGGGTGAGAAAATCTTGAAACAACCAAAAGTAGAAGAAACAGGGAAGTCAGTCATTGAGTCAGACGACGTCCCAAACTCAGCTAATACGTTTATTCAGTAAACCTCGTCACCAACCAACACAACGACTCTGGTTTCAAGGGTGTATATGAGATGGTTTACTAAATAAACTTATTAGCTGAGTTTGAGACGTCGTCTGACTCTTCTACTTTCGGTTGTTTCCAGATTTTCTCACACAGTCTCAGGTGTTTTAACAGAATGGTAAACTAGGATAGATAATCTGGACAGTTGGTAAGAATTTATGTTGAAAAAAAAGTGCGACTGGGACACAAGCAGTGGCGTACCAACTTGCTTTTGTGTGTGTGTGGGGGGGGGGGGGGCAAACCAGATCCCCCCCCCCCTAAGGGCCGGGGGGGGGGCGGTGCCCTTGGTGTACCTTGGGCGTCGCCGGAGTGTGTTTGCCCTGCCCAGTGCCGGCTGTTTCGGGGGGGGGGGGGGGGGGGGGGGGGGGGGGGAAACACATGCCTTGCCCCCCACTCTGAGAACTAGGGGGGGGGGGGGGGGGGGGGGGCAAGCGCACCCCGGTTGGTACGCCCATGGACACAAGCGTTGTCTTGTTGTCCTTGTCCCAGTTCAATCGCCACCCCTGCCCGTTTCGATCTGGATGAGCATTGTACCGGCGTGCGGTCGTGTATCACTACTGCGTGGTCCACGTTAAAAACCCCAGGTTAGCGATTTTACCGCAATGGCTAAATTGCTCACCTACAGCTGAAACACCAGACGCCCGCTGAGGCAGACTAATTTCCGGCCCTATAATAGAGATCAGTGGTATAAACATACACACGACAATTTGCTTGCTTGCCCCAGTCGCGCTGTTAACATTGTACACTCGCTGTGTTTCGCAAGGAGGTGCCGAAAGCGTAGATCCTCTGAAAAGTCTCCGCCATTCCGCCCGCTTTCCTGCTCGCCACGCGAAAACTCAGCTCATGCGCACTTGCGACCAACCTCCGCAGGACATGGTTGATGGACACCACTGATCAGTGATGGACCCTCTCTGCCCTCTCTACAATCTAGGCTCTCTACGATCGAGGCACGATCGACGCGCCACATGATAGCCACCGTTGGAACTATGGGCAGCATAGTGGGCATAGTGCCACTGAGCGCCACTTCCGGCAAAGCGGACGATCGGCGCTCCATATCCGGCAACAGATTTCAAACTTCATTTACGGTTAGCGTCTGCGATTTTTTGTGACGTGCCGCTCGCGCCTCGGTTCGTTTTCGCTTTTTTTTTTTTTCGCGGTGTTCTGGTCGTTTCGCGTGTGCGGGATGCGGTCCCCCGACGCGCGCTAGGACAGCGGCCGGCTCGACCAAGTGACCGCTTCCGAACAACGCCGGAAAAGGAAACGATCGAGAAATAAATTGGTGCTGCCAAAGCCGTCGGCTTAGGCCTAGCGACCCCGCCGCCGCGGTCGAGATGGGCTGTGCTGTGAGTACCGCCGCGGACAAGGAGGCCGCGGAGAGGTCTAAGAAGATCGACAGGGACCTCCGCGCCGATGGCGAGCGACAGGCCAGGGAGGTCAAGCTCCTACTGCTCGGTGAGTGCCGACTGGCGTGCCGTACCGGGGAGTCGGCGGTGCCCGTCGGTTCGACGACCTGTCATGCTCCCGTTTTTGCCTTTCTCGGCCGTTCGGCAGCTTCGGCTTCGAGCTGCGCGGGCGGCAACCGCGAGCCTCACGTTCTTGTCGACCAGGGATGTCGGTTCAAAGTTTACGGAGCCAACAACCGACTTAATTTCGCGGTTATCGGAGCGGCCGCTAACCCTAATCAACCCCTCCCTCGCAACCGGGCGGTGGCAAGACCGTCGCCGGCAACCTGTAGGAAGCGCTAAAAGGGTATCAGTGGCGGGACGATCCTTCGGTCCGATGATTTGCGGTTTTGGAAGCGTCTGTGCAGAACGATACATCGCCGGCAGAGCGGCGGATAAGCGCTGTTTATTCGACTGTCGCTAACGAACGGAAGCCGGCATCATAGGACGCTTCGAAGCCGAGACTGCTGCGAGTGTTTCGAAGCCCGTGTTGCGTCCCGTTGCTTGCCTCTGCGAAAGAAGCATAAAAAAACGCAAAAAGCAAAAAGAAAAAAAAAAAAAAAAAGTGACATCCGCTGTTCGGAGAACCGGAGGCCGTGATCTTGGGATTCCTCTGACTCTCCCCCGCGAGCACCGGCACGCCGATTGAAGCTCGTGCCGTTGGTAGCGCGGGGAGCGGGACGGCCTGCCGGGGATGCTCAGCCGCGCGTGAACACCTACAGTGGGGCCGCACCGTCGGTACTCTGTGCATTTCTCGCTTGGGCAAGCCGGGGCTCGCCGACGGCAGACCCAGCTCTTGCTGGGGGCCGTCTCGGGCAGCAGGTGGGCCATTCTTCGCCTCTTTCAGTGATGTTTTGATGCGCTGGCACGTGGGATGGCAGGAGAGATCGTAACTCGTCAAAAGTACACGAGCTTGAAAGAAGCAAATTCGCCAAAAGAGACGGGGGTGGCGCGAAAACCTTGGATGGGGTTTGCATACAGGCGACGACTTCGTCTGCGGGAGAGGCGAAAACACTCCGGCGGGCATGCACGTACTGGGTCAGCACCAGAGTGGCTGCGAATTACTCCCTGTAGATTGTTTTCACATGACGTCAATCCGCCATTTTGTTGTTTGTTTGTTTTCCCAAACAAATTTAGTAATATGAAGGATTACATCGCAACCTGTTGAGATGTCAGCGCGGTAAGACTTATAGGCTTCCATGCTCCACGTATTTGAGGGGTCATTTAAATCCTTAGAACGCTCGCCTTCGGCACACACCAAACAGCTCACAACAACAAAATGGGGGACAAAATTACGTCATTGAAAAGTCTGTATTTTGTGGAAGAGTGTATTTTGTAAATGTAGCGTTTTAAGCGTGTAGTGTGGCTTCTACACCTGTAAGGTAGCTTGTAAGCATGTTAAGAAAATGTCTGTATTGATGCGATAAATAAAAAAGCAAAATATTCTGCTCTTGCCTATAAGTGTTTCATCAACACACTAACTCCACCCTGTTGCGTCACGCCCCGGGGGTGCTGCTTTGGGCACATTTCCGATCGGGGTGTGTGGGCTGAAGCCGCCATGTAGGCCAGGGCATTGCTGTGTTGTTTTGGAAGAAACTTGACTAACACCTGCCTTCTCGTTGAAGCATTGCGACTGTAGCTGCACCAAAAGAGCCGGGAAAGGTGTCAAGATAGTTTTTCCCGATTTTTCTGAGAACGTGAAAAGGCTAAACCAGACTCCATTTGGCCAGATTTGCTTTTGCGAAAAGCACTCCGAGTTGAATTCATGCAGATCTGTGATTGTCAGATTTATCTTTTTTTGTTTTAACATAGACCTTATATATGAGAGCACCATCTGTAGCACGGAGAGGCAACTAGCCCTCATCGCCATCTTGAAGGATACCACGTCTCTCGCACAAGTCTGCGCACATTTCAGTGTTGCAAAACTATTTACAATACATTCACATTTCGTTGTGTAAAGTCAGATGGAGAGTGGTTTGGTTGCTGCAATAAGTGAATATACTGTATTTGTCTTGTTCTGCCATGATGTCCAGACTAAAGTAGAAGTTTGGGCTAGTTGGTATTTCATGATTAAAGATTAAAACAGCGCAAGGACACGGACAAGAACAAGAAGGTAGACAAACAAGGCGCCTTGTTTGTCTACCTTCTTGTTCTTGTCCGTGTCCTTGCACTGTTTTAATCTTTAATCATGTCCAGACTAAAAGTTAGCCACGATCGGGCTGGCGACTGCCTGTGCGACGTGGCAAGGTTGCTTGACGTGAAGCTTTACTAGTGTGGGAAGTTCAGTTGGTAGACGTGCAAGATACGTAAAACTATGGTCCACGTCTTTGTCTGGCATATTTAATCAGCCGATTAATTACGGCATTCAGACTGCTAAGTACAATTCAAAGCGGTGTTATCTCAATAATTTATTAGTTAATACATGTTCCAATTGTTTTCCAAAGATTGTTCATTTTAGCAAACATTCGACAAGGCTCACAAATATTATTCGTTATTATTCGGCCATTAATATGACCGATTCAGCAATATATATTAGAATTAATTTATGCAGCAGATTTTAAGGTAGGTACTTTATTTGGCATCACAAAAACACAGACACTGTGGGTAAAGACGACGCCTGCACTAGAAGGTCTTGATTATGTATGTGTGTGCAAGTGTTCAATGGCAGAACTTGAAAAACAGCTCGGTGAAGATTGCGATATAATCAAATTTGGCTTTTACATAACGTGCCCAGATATAATGTGCTAGCGTCATCCAGGCAAATGGAAAGGAACTTTGGCAAAGCTGCTTCTAGACATGCAGCCTAGCTGTCTTGAGTTTGGCAGTCGGAAGACTTGCGAGCGCTGCGACTAGCAATTGGCATGGTCACCGGATCGCTACCAACTGTACTGTGTGTTACGTTGGCTCACCGCTGAATTGCCTATGGAATAACAGCCTGATGATACCCTTTCAACTCGCATAGTCACAAACACTCCTATCCTTCACGACAAAGTGGCTGCGAGAACATCACTGGAACACTGAATGTTCAAGGAACCAATGCACTCTCAATAAATGGTAGCACCTAGTCTCTTGTTCTTACTCCAAGCAGAAAGAGAAAGAATTTCTCAGCGCGTGATAAAGAAACGTCAGTTGTATTGCACGTACGACCTCCTCACCACACCACGAAACTCGTACCGGGGCAATTTAAACAAATCAAGAACATCCTTCGAGATCGCATCCGCTGCCCAGTGTGCTCAGCCAGATCAAGCTTTTCTTTCACTGTTTTCAGATTTTTTGAAAGGGGTCTGTAAAAATGTAAAAAAACCGCTAAGTTGTCTGTACCACCCGCGGGCCACGTTTGGTGCATTTTCATGCTCAAACGACCATCTGATGGTTCAAACTGTCGTCCGCTTGTTGGATCAAAAACAGCCTGTAGACCACACATTCGTGCAGTAATACCAATAAAAAGTAAGTCACTTTTTGTTGCTGTAGCTCCAAGTCTAGCTACTTTTGAAAATTTTAACTCCAAACAAAGCCACTCCTTACTCCCCATGGCAGTGGCATAGGCAGAGAGGGGGTTTGGGGGGTCCAAACCCTATACACTGAACTTAATATTCTGCAAGTTCACACCATTCTTTCAATACAATTTATGGAACACTTTTTTTTCTTTTTACTATACAATATTTGTTTAATAAAAAACCAAGAGGGGCATTTTGAGCCCGCATGTAGCCTCCCTAGAACCATAAAGATTATTACTTGGGGAGGAAGAGGGGCAAAGAGACAGGTTGTCTCACCTTGGGGCATGGCAATGCAAGAGGCCCACTTTATCAGGATCATGTAGAGACTAGGAAATGTGGACTTCTGGGAAATGATAGTGCACCTTGCTCTTTGACTATATCTGACAGCAAATGCCAAGGTGCAAGCAATCTTGAGGGTCATGAAATTGGCAGTATTGTGGCTTCAAGGAAAAAGAAGTGAGGCGGAGAGAACTCTGCCCGTAGCTAACATTTTTTATATAAGGTTTTTTTGGGGTTTTCTTGTGTGTAAGTAGAAGTTTACAAACTTAAGGATTTCTGGTAAGGCACCATACGTTGAGTTTGCAAACACAGCTTCACTGGGGTAAAGATGTTTTAAGTGAAGATCTTCGTAAGTGGGGAGTATTCTATGGGTTTTTATATGAGGGCATATGTAGTCAGGTTGTCTGGAGTAACTGGATGATGTCATTTGCATTTTTATTTGTTAATGTCGCTAGTGTTACCTGTGGCTGATGTTTGATCTTCCTGAGATGAAAAGTTAATTTGCAAAGAACTACAAACATTGTGAAGTCACAATATGTGCAACTTGACAGTGTAATAGTCAACACCAGAGCTAACAGACGACTGTCTGTTAGCTCTGAAGTTGGGAGTCTGTGAATGGACAGGATCGCAACGCAACCCATAAACTGCTTCAGCTGTGACTTGGTCCACTTCGGCTGAGGTCTCCCTGCACACTTAACAGGTTGCTTTCTTGCACAGCGTGCTGAAATATAACGTTGTCTAAAATATTTTTTCGGTGACTGTCATTTTGTGGCAAGAAACATTGTGACGCTTCTTATCGACTGCAGCTGTCTGGCTTTATCCACAAAACACGTTGCTAACGGCTATTGGCAAGTGCAGGCACAGATTGGCTGTCATCTAGGCCGTGGTCTTCGCTGCTGAGGTTAGATGCATCTCTCAAAGCATCTGTATAAGGTGCAATGTAGTCGAGATCTCCATCGTCGCTTTTGTCTTCTGGAAGTAGGTGGGTTCTCAGTCACTGGGCACCGTAGAAGGTCACACTGTCCATGGTCTCTGAACAAGACATGTGCAAGAGTCCCAAATTAAGTTATTTTGTGGCAGGAGTCTATGTCGCTCACCACATGGTCCTAATGCCGAATTTAGTGAATTTGTGACAAACTAGTAAAGCATTACATGGTCAATATAACAGGGCTTTTCTCAATAAGCGTATCAATATGCACTTTCTAATCTGTGTTCAGAAGGAATAGAAACTACA